CACAATTCCAAACTCCGTGCTACTACTGAGAATTTTGTAAAATCCTAGTAATACTTTGCTCGACGCGGGAATCGAACCCGAGACCCCTTACCCGGCAGTCGCACTTGCGACCACTCGGCCAACGAGGCAGTCAAACATAAAGGCTGCTTCATTAAAAAAATCGCTTTTTAATTCTTCTAATACTTTTTAAGCGTCTATCTCCAAGTAATTAGTCTCCAACAAAGGTTATAGTTACAAAGTAGGTACTATAAAAACTTTAACGATTGCTGACTACTGTTTAAGTTTCACACAGACAGTAAGGAGCTCTGAATTTCAGGAAATATATCTAAATTATAACCGACTGTCTATTTACATTAAATTGTCGTTACTAAGTTTAAGATTAATATTACAACTTTGTGTTCCTAAAAGTTTAAATGAGGTTGATGATTTTTAGCGCTTACTTTACGTTACGTTTTACGTTGGCCAGCTTTTTTTTTATGGGCCAAGCCCGCCACAACCTCCCAAAACCGCTGCAACTCCTGTAATCCAGGATCTACAGTAGATACACCCATGTAAACACCGGGACATTGAAGTCCGGCGCGTCACAGAGACATGAGTAACTGTCTTGGTTCCCGCAACGAAGTGAATCAGCGTTGGCCAGCTACGAACTTATGATTCCTCAGGTGTTCCTGGTATCTATGGGTATAGCTGATCATTAACTATCAGGTGATTTCTCTACTCGTTCGATCCGTCACAAAAACAGTATGTAGAAAGATAATAAAGAAGAAAGAAAAACAGTTTACTTGCACCGTTACAAAATATGTTGCACCGTTGCAGATTTTGCTCCGTTACAAAAAATGGCAAAGTTGCTGCCAGAAGCTATTTTCAATATTATATTCAAATGTGGAACTTTCTAAGCCTTAATATCGTCATATTGAATTAAAGAAATCCTTACAATATAAGTTGTAATAATTCATCCTCGAACCTTCTTGTAAGACCTTTCCTTTGTGACCGCTGTAGATGTAGCAGGTCAACCTACATCAGTGTACCAGTGTACCTATGAAAGGTTTGTAGTATAGTTATAAAGTTGATATTTACTTTCAATACCGACAATACATACTAGTGCAAAGAGTATTATAGGAAAGTGTACAAACTGATCATCTAATTAGCATTATCCTGCGGTTCCAACTTTTTTACTGATACCGTTACCTTGTTATCCTTGTCGCGGTTACCGTTTTGTTAATCTAGATCACTTCTGTATTTTCGCGTGAAACAATAAGTGCCTTCTCACACGTCCTGGTTGCCGGGTAGCCGGTACCCGGCGGTGCAGTGTATGGCTAATTAATTAATTATATAGACTGCGCCGACGGTTAGCCGGCACCGACTATCCAGCAGCCGGAACGTGTGAAAAGGCATTAACAGTTTCATAATCGTCAACCAATATACATTTTTACATTCTCAATACTTTCACATCTTACTAATGTATATTATAAATGTGAAAGTTTGCGATTAAGTATATAGGTTTGTTATTGAATCATGTCAAACCGGCTGTATGTATAAGGAAAAATTTTGGAACAGTATGGTCACAGATTATATGGTCTGGAACACCACATAGACTACTGATCATCTCACGGGGATGCGGGCGAAGCAGCAGGTTGAAGCTGGGCCACAATATCAGTAGGATTTCACCTTCTAATTCCGTGGTTTTACTTAGTATGCAATAGCTATGTCGTGGTGGCCCGGCGGTTTAAGACGTCCGCTTCTCATGCATGAGAGTGCGTGTTTGAAATATACCAACGGCAAGTATGAATGTGACTTTTTCCGAGTTATGTGAACTTTCTAAAATATTATTTAGACATCACTAACAAACGCTGAAGGAAAACATCGTGGCGTTGTTACGGAGATTAGCGCGTTCAAACAAACAAACAAAAAAAAAACTCTTCCGCTTTACATGATAGTATAAGAGTATAAGATATGTGTTATCCTCTGTGCTGTTTGTATGTATGACAGTAGGACGTACCTGGGAATAAAATCCAAGTTCAATATCTCGACTTCATGTTTATACCCATTTCAGTCGTTTCCTACCCTTGGACTAAGGGTTGCTACTTGATAAAACTTTTAGAAGTTAAGTAGTAATATACTTATGTAAGACAAGGGTTGGTCCTTTATGTGTCCTTTAATTTTATTCTGTCGCCCTAAGGAAAGAATTTAGTGAAATATATACTATACAAGCGTTATCTGTGCAGTTTGGCTCGTGTGGAATTTTGAACATTTGTTTCGAGTAGTTCCTGTAGGCATGTAAAGATAGAAAAGTAAATGGCTACTAAATTTTAAGTTGTAGTTAAATATCGTGCCGTCTCTGTCATTTTACAAAGAGTTTGTGGTGACAGAACTATGTATGTTTAAGCGCGACTTAATATTACTTGATGTTTGAGTATTTCGGCGTAAACCGCATAAATTATTACTTTTATTTATTTACACTTTATTGTACACCATAAAAACACACAGAGAAAAAAAATGTATACAATGGGCGGTCTTATCGCAGAATGCGATTTCTTACAGACAACCTTTGGATGGAACCAGTAATTAGAAGTTGGAAAAAAGGGGGTCGTCCAGTGTACAATAATAATCAAACCAATACATACATTAAAATCAATATTACTATAAAATATAATTTACTATATAATATTAATATGTCTTTGTGTCTTTGTGTGCGTGTGTACTTTATATTACATAATTATGTTACTTACCTACTAATAAACAGTAGCCTGTCTCACTCATGTGTCTGTGACCATAAAAATTAGGTCCAATAAGTGAATTACTTTTTCAATAATAAGTAAAATACGTTAAAGAGTTTTCAAATCGGCTCATTGGCTTGAGTCTATTCAGTACAAAGACACCGACAGCCAAATGTTTGCTTTTTCTAATATTAGCTTCTTTATTGAATAATATTTTGTACGTGATTTTTTTGTGTAGGTACATTTTGTACGTTATTTTATCTGTTGCTGTAGGACTTCGAAAACCTCTCTTGTTACTTACCTCTGTGACCCTAGAGGACCATAATTTATGTGCATGCCAAGCAATTTCTTACAACATCGACAATTTATTTCAGTTGTTACTTGTCTGTCACTCACTCGGACAGACAGACTTGTGAATATTAATTAATGAATAAAATAACATTTAGTACTTAACTATGCTGTGCGACCAACACAACTCTTAGACTGAGCACATAAATTAGGGTTAACACATAACATCACGCCTTTTGTCCCCGAAGGGATAGGCAGAGGTGCACATTTCGGCACTTAATGCCACTGTACAATGTAACACCCACTTTTCACTATTTATGTTATGAGTCCCATGTAATGGGGGGTGAGCCTATTGTCATATACCGGGCACAATTCCAGACTCCGTGCTACTACTGAGATTTTTTTTAAAAACCCAGTACCTAATACTTTGTTCGACCCGGGAATCGAATCCGAGACCTTGCCCGGCAGTCACACTTGCGACTCCTCGGCCAACGGAGCAGAAATTATGGTTAATAGTTACTAATTTTCAACTAACTACTTAATTTTTTTTATGGCGAAACTATTTACTACCTACTATGTCCATCCATCGAACCTAGAATCTTGTGATCGTATTCGCAATACAAAAATGGCGTAAGAAGATTGAGAGATCAAAATAAAATCCGATTTCTCTCATAATAGTAACATGCTCTATAAATCTTGACTTAAAGCCGATTTTCGTGACGCACCCTGTATAATATAATACTCATTTGAATGAAGTTGAATAGTTTTATGTTTTGATTGTTATTATAAGCAGGACAACTGTGGTAGAGAACTGGGATTCGATTCTCAGGACGGGGAAAATACCTTTAATTGAAATTTCTTTGTTAATTCAAATTTCTCAGTAATAGGAGTTTGAAATTATGGCCGGCGTATGGTAATAAAATAGCCCTATATAAATAACAGGAGAAAAGTAGCTACTATTAATGTGTGTACTTGTATCAGTCCTTTCGGAGATCAAAAACCGTGATCTTTTATGTGCAGCGAACTGAATGCTATTTCAAAACAATCGCTTAAAGTAAATATAAAAAGTTAAAAAAGTTTCGAACGGTTTTCATAGCCTTGCCATTCATAAAAACTCTACGAAAGCGCTCAGAAATTTATTACAGCTTTTTTCCGTTCATAAAGATTCGCATCTGGCCAGCATTAATCAGAAAAACTTAGTCGATAGGCATTCTCTTTTGTTTTAAAAAAACGAACATTTTTCATTCATTCAACGACTGTTGAATCCACAGTTACTTTATTGTATTGTTTTTTTTTAATGTTGATAGGTACCCTATTATTTGCATTAATTCATCATCATCATCATCAACAGCTTAAAAGGGGCCACTGCTGATCAGAAGCCTCTTCTCGTACGGAGAAGGTTTGAAAATTAATCACCACGCTTGCTATTGAGCACTTTTGAAATGAGCACTGCCAATGCAGGTTGGCGATTTCAAACTTATAATTAAAAATTATTAAGCCGAGGTTTTCTCATGATGTTTTCCTTCACCGTTTGTCAGTTAATCTTAGAAAGTACATATAATTTGGAAAAAGTTACATTGGTAATAGCCGTTGGTAGGTTTCGAACCCGCACCCGCTGCTTGAGAAGCGGACGTCTTTAAACTCCGGGCCATCACGACAAGGGAAAATCTGCAGCCACTTAATTGCGAATATGTATTTTATAAATAACAACTCTTGCTTACCACAAGCATACTCTTGCTGAAAAGGTTGTTATTGTAATTTTATTTTGATGTACATAATAGTTGATGAAATAAACACGTGTCACTATTTTTTTTATTTATTATAGACGATATCAGTACTTGATTTTCCGATAATGTTCTTTTAGTAAAATTGTTAAGATAGATGGGTACATTGCATACCTATGCGTATCTTTTTGGGGGTTAAAATATAAACAATAAAGTAGAATTGATTGTAAAATGTAAAGTTTCTATAATAAGTTTCTCTGTATTGTTACAGGTCAGCAGTCCGACACAATATTTCTGGTACCGCACCACTCTACAAATATCAGAAGATATCAACTACCCTGAAACGTTCAACTATAAAATAGCCCTAGCCCTAGTCATAGCCTGGATCCTAGTCTACATGTGTATGATCAAAGGCATCGCCTCCTCGGGCAAGGTCGTCTACGTCACAGCAACCTTCCCATACATCGTCCTCGTCATATTCTTCTTCAGAGGCATCACTCTTAAAGGCATGAGCGATGGATAATCCACCTATTCACACCAAAGTGGCACAGAATTTTAGACCCTGTTGTGTGGCTAGAAGCTGGCACACAAATATTCTTTTCGCTTGGCTTAGCCTTCGGGGGCTTAATAGCGTTCTCATCCTACAATCCTGTTGATAACAACTGTTACAGAGATGCCATTATGGTCTCTATGACTAATTGCTTAACGTCGATGTTTGCTGGCATCGTAGTGTTTTCAATCATTGGGTTTAAGGCTACGATGGTGTACGAAAAGTGTTTGGACGTGAGGAATGAGACCTTGCTGGAGGTATTTGGACCGGCCTTTAGGTCTATGGTGCTGCCTGAAGCTGGGCAGATGGTGAAAGTAGACATCAATGGGAACCTTACGTCTCTGGTGATGCCACAGCTACCGGAGTGTGACTTACAGAAGGAATTGGACAACGTGAGTTTATCCATTAACCACTATAACAAATTCTTTCATAAAAACTCTGTATATAACTCCAAAAATAATTTGAAACGTAGCAATGAATTAAGATCATAACTTCTAACAGAATCTTTCTTCCACAGACGGCTTCTGGCACCGGCCTTGCCTTCATCATCTTCACGGAAGCCATCAACCAGTTCCCCGGAGCTCAGTTCTGGTCCGTCCTCTTCTTCCTGATGCTGTTCACATTAGGAATAGACTCCCAATTCGGGACCCTTGAAGGCGTAGTGACTTCTATTGTGGACATGAAGTTGTTCCCTAATTTGAGAAAGGAGTATTTAACAGGGGGCCTGTGTCTTCTCTGCTGTTTATTGTCCATGGGTTTCGCCCATGGCTCCGGAAGCTACATATTCTTACTATTTGACATGTACAGCGGGAATTTTCCATTGCTGATCATCGCCTTCTTTGAGTGTGTGGGGATTGCCTACGTGTATGGGGTTAAAAGGTGAGTTCTTAATGTTATTTTGTATATGCACTTTTCTTCCACTGCTATTTTGTAGACGACTTCGTTTTTCGGTCGACTGTTATGTCGGTTCATGTAACCTGAGATCATATATATACATCCTAAAAGTATTATGCCTGATTCACCCTATACTGAATTCGCCTAAACGTAGTCACTACTCAACTGTAAAATGCTTAAGTTGTAGCTAAAATAAAAATTACTACGTACAAAAAGTAGATCATCCTATTTACCCTCCAGTTCTGAACTCCAAAGTAATTCGCAAGGTACTTTTGATTTGACTAAGTAAGCCGAGGGCTTTCATTGCTAGCTTAGGATTTATAAGTACCTGTCTAGAGACCATTTTATCCAGTGGGTACTTTACTTAGTAGATAACTTTTTACTGTTGTAGTTTATCTTAGAATGTCATAGACTGATTGCCCTTTTGATGGAGTTGTAGGTTGTAGGTGTGCGAATCTATACTAATATTATAAAGCTGAAGAGTTTGTTTTTTTTTTGTTAGTTTGTTTGAACGCGCTAATCTTCGGAACTACAAGTCTGATTTGAATATTTTTTTATTAGATAGCGATATTTTTTTTTGTTAGATAGCGCATTTACGATAAAACGTCACGCTACGACCAATAGGAGCTGAGCAGAGCGTGTGAAACCGCTACCGCCGGCAGTAGCTAGTGTATGATAAGCCAGCAAGTGCCTTGGGTTTAATTCAGGGCGTCGAGTTACTGTTTCTTTTATTCGGTTTTCATAAATTGTACAGAGTTTGGCAGTAACCTATTACCTACGTAGAGTTGCTTTTAATATAAAGACTTTTGATTTTCGTATCGTCATCTCTATTATCTTCTCTTAAAGCTAATCCAATAGAAGCAAGTAAGTCAAGTTCCGATAGTTTCGGCCGGTCTTTGCATAGTTTATCGGACTTAACTAACTTTGTAGACTTTATTAAGTCAAGTCAATAAACCAGTTGCGGATAATTTTGGATCCATATTAATAAGCCAGAATCTATAATAACGCTCTAAAGAAGAAAAATAATTATTTGTTTCCATTAAATCGACTCCAAGATGGGTTCGAAAAATTCATACACATTCAGAAAGTAAATGACAAAGGTTTTTTTTAAATAAAGTTATTGGTAAATCAATTAGGGGATCAATCAATGAGACAGGTCGTTACCACAGTATAAAATGTCGTTACATCCTCACATAGAAATAAAAAAAGAATGGACATCAGACTGTTTGAAAAGATCGGTTTAAAAGATCCAAATCTATGTTCTTTCTAAGACTCAACTTTTAGAAATAAGTAAGTTTTTCTTCACAAAAACTTACGTTTTAAAGGAAGAAATCTAAACTGCTTTATGTCACACGATAAAATCTTGGCCTTATGGGGTCAGTCACTCGGTTAAAGGGTCTTAAATAAGTTAAACGTGCCGTGAAAATGGACATCAGGGTCACGGCGCCATTTTCTTAGTAATGTCAATGGCTCCGACCGTGGAATATGGAGTGGGATCATAATTTTGACGACTCAAATTGCAAGTAATAAATTGGTAATATCGATACGCCTGTTATGAATGAGTAGACAGGGTTATATTCCAGTTACGGGTCACGTGTTAAAGAGAGTGAGGTTAACTGCTAAATCAAAGACTTAGTTGCAGGGAAACAACTAAGTCTTTGATTTAGCAGTGTTTATTCCAAAATATAGACGTTTATTTCTATTATCTATTATAGTTTATTTAAGTGCGACTGCCGGCCAAGGGGTCTCGGCGATTCCCGGGTCGGGCAAAGTATTACTGTTTTTTTTTTAATCTCAGTATTAGCACGGAGTTTGGAAATGTGCCCGGTATATGGCAATAGGTTACCCCCTATTACATGGGACTCATAACATAAATAGTGAAAAGTGGGTGTTACTTCTGTGTGCACCTCTGCCTACCCCTTCGTGGATAAAAAGGCGTGATGTTATGTTATGTTATTTCTATTATCTTCTTATTCTAGTAGTTACACTAAGAATCTGTTAAACTTGCAACTTGACCACCGCGATCAATCTGTGTAGTTAGAAATATAAACATCTATTTGGATGGCCCAGTTCAATTCACCCTAAAATATCCAATATACCATCAACATAATGTACAATACTTAGCTACCTACGTAGGTACATATAGATATATGCCTCGGGTTTGTTCAGTACAGCTTATGTAATATTTCCTTTTGGTCGATACGTTACCGGATTCGGTTCTACAGAAAACACATTTTGGTTTAACCAAAGTTATTTCAGAAGCTGGCTGTTTTATTGGACGAGTAAACGCAAACGGATAAAATATTATTGTGGTTCACTCGGATTTTCAAACGTTATATGATTATTACTGAATGTAGGTACCAAACACACAGGTACCCAATATAACTGGGGAAATGTGGTTGTTACGTTGTTTATGTGCACTTCTGCCTATCTCTTCGGGGATTAAAAGGCCAGACGTAATTTTATGTTATTCTTTAGATTAAATAAATAAAGTCACGAGAATCGATTAAACAATCGACTGGTGTAGGTAACACGATCTTGTTTTGCTTAAACATGTAGATTTCACGAATTAAAACAGAAAGTAGAAAAAACGAGGCCAATTTCGGACATCCAATCATGTTTGTTTTGACGTAGAAACGAGAGCAAATGGACGAGTAAATTAATCTGAGAGGTTAAGCCACGGTTGCTGCGGCTAATCCACGGATTACAGTTGAATGGGCGATCATTCTTTGCAAAATGGGATCCCCTATAGAACAGCTATATAGATAGAGACTGCTTCGACTGCGCGCGGTAGTAAAATGGTGAATTGCTGAAGTTCTTGTTTATTTTATATAACTGCGTTTAATTTCATTGTGTGCATCGCACTGTAGTCACTTGTTCATATTCGGTTTCTTGTCGTTGTCGCTGTGTCGCTCTAGTGCAGCCCGGGCGTAAGAAACTCAGTTATATTTTTAAACAAAATACATATCAAACGAAAGAATAAAGATAATAATAAATAAGTCTTATATGTAAACCCTCCATATAGTTTCAATCAAAACATTTTAGGCTGTAACCGATATGTTGTACCAATCTAAAAATTTGAAGCGTCCCTTGATACGCTTATTTTTCCCTAATGACGACCGCTCCGCCCGCCATATGGCGAGTCTGACGGAATGGGCGGGTCGTCTCGTTATATTTTTATAAATTAATTCTTATTGACGGTAAAGCTAGTATTTTATTATCCAGTTGGGTAAAGTATTATATTATTTGGGGTCTACGATTAACAAAATTCACATTAATAGTACCTACATAGGTAGTTCAGACTCACGGTCGATGTATGGGACTCTCTCTTTAACGCATGCCATATTTAGCGGGTTTTATAACTGGCAATTGAGCAGATGTAACGTCTATGCCATCATACCTCTAGCTATTCCACACGAAAAGGGAGAGATGTTAACTTAGTGATAATAAAAACCTACCTATATAAGTCGGCCATTATTTAATCTTATATTAACCTGGTATTAAGCGATGATGGTACCAGAGATAGTCACCTTCTTCAATTTCTATCACCATAACTCATCTTCCATAATATTTTTTTCATTTACAGGTTTGCGGATGACATTCAGCTAATGACAGGCACACGACCGGGGATCTACTGGTTGATATGTTGGAAGTACCTGTCTCCTCTAGCGATGCTGTCCATATTAATATCCTCATTTGTGGAGCTGGCTACTGAAGGTTCTGGATATGACGCCTGGATCAAGTCTGCTGGAGACACAGAGAGGAAGACCTGGCCTGTATGGGCTGTTCTGCTCGTCCTTGTGTTGGTCCTGGCGTCCGTCTTGTGGATACCTGTCGTTGCTATTGCCAGGTTAGTACTGGGAAATACCTATACTGTTTGTTAAATAGAACCTTAGGTTTTTTAATATAAATACGATGAGGGAGCTTTGAGCTGATAATTTACGAGAAGTTGCCAAATACCGCTAGAAATAGCGAAATTTTGTATCAGAGGCCAATGTCGACTTTGGGTCGTTGGGACAAGGAAGAAGGTAAGCATTAGATACACCTACATAACGTCACGCCGTCTCCCATCGGGGTAGGCAGAGACTATGGAACGCCAATTACTACGATTCCTACATACCTCTTTTGCTTCATCAACAGTCATTAAATAACGTAAGCATTACACGTTATCCTTACTTATATTATAAATGGGAAAGTGAGTTTGTTTGTTCCACTTTAACGCCGTAACTACTAAACCGATTGCTTTGAAATTTTGCAGACGTAAAGTTACAAGTCCGGATTAAATAATAGGGTACTTTTTTATCCCTGAAAAATGTGATATTCCCGAGGGAAAACAAAAGTATTGGTATAGATGGCGCTGTGTGTATTGCTATATGTCACATTGGCTTTTTATCCTTTTGTGACGCGAGCGAAGCCGCGGGTAAAAGCTAGTATTATTATATAATTAGTTTGTACTATTCCATGTATATAATAGACGTTTGTAAGTAACCAGCACCTGTAGCCAAATGCCATTTAGCGCTTGTCTACATGTAGAATAGAAAACCAAATTAAATATATCGAATTGACGTAAATTTTTACACTTGTCACTGTCATCCCCATACATTTAGTTTTCTACTCTCTCTGTAGACAAGCGCTAAAGTGGCTTTTGGCTAAAGGCACAGGATGCAAGATATTAAAAATTATAAGTAATCTATGAGTATTTTGGCAGTGTATGGGATTATCGATAAACCTATACATGGTACATGGATGCCTTCGAGGAAAATAACACACGTAATATGAATTCCAGATACTTCGGCGTTCCCATAATAGACGACGAGGAACGCGCGTGGTTTCCCGCTGAGGAGTTACGGGACTTCCATGGCATTGAGCCAAGACCTGTCTCCACGACAGAAACTCTGTTGTTCTGCACAAGACCTGATGGCTCCGAAGGTTGCTGCTGGCCTGGATGCTGTGATACCGACGATGAGGAGTAGTCTTCAATCAAAATTAGCACAAGTAACTGTTTTCTCTGCCATCTTAATTTTAGAGAGTATCACAGAATAAGATATTTCGTTCGAAGTTGATAGAAGTTGCATCGAAACGTCGTCCGTGTGACAGCCTTTGTATTGTAGAAATAATTGATTTCCCGCGGTTTTAGCAGCAGTACCTAAACTAATATGGCTGCTATGACGATAAGTTGCGCAAAGACAATAAAAAAACGAAATGTTTGTAAAAGAGAAAATGTTAAGAGCAAATTATTTTTATTTTTACAATTTCATTAAGATATCGGGGAAAATATTTATTATTTAAAACAAAAATAATAGGTGTGAATTTAAACATAGGTTATACATGAATGGATCGCTCAGTGAATATAATACCTAGATATATAATAAGTAGTTTAACATGATTATAACATCGCTGACATTTAGAACCATTTTATATTATAAAATATACCGAAGTACCATTTTATCTAAATGTCATCTTATCGAAATTATAGACAATAAAGATATCTTTTGGAAACATATCTAATTTCACTTGTCCATATCTAGGATTCATATCCAGCCGTTTATATATACTGTTGAATTTTTATATTACGCATATAATAGAAATTTAGTGTTAGAAAATAAAAATTCGTTTTCGAATAGCCTTTATTAAAACGGCTAAATGTTTTAGAAATAATTGACAATAATCTTCCCTACCTATAAATAATGATTGACAATAAAATCTTCAAAAAACATTTGCTATAGATATTTATTGTTAAAGACTGGTATTTTTTATATCTTTAATTATTTAATTAAATATTAAAAAGAATAATACGACAATAATCTTAAATAGATACGACACAAGAGATCGTGTCTATGATATTATAGTTTTTATTTATTTTTACATTCGTTACGCTTTGAGCTAAGTTGTTTACAATCTGTTGATATTTAAAAATATATTTTTAATCTATGACTCTATATATAATCTACATATTTATAAAATGCAGAATATTCTACATTGTGACAATAAAAATAAATATACATTTTAAGTAATACTCACGTTGTTTTTAGATGCTTTTAAAATTATTATAGTAGTTTATTGTCTACGCATAATTGTTGTTGAATGTATAGAGGACACGAATCATCTATTAGATTAGACAACTGTAAATTGTGCAAGCCAGCAGTTAACATATAAGCACTGTCCATTAAGAAAGCAGTCTTTTGTTTGAAATAGGTACCGTTAAAAATATTATTGAAACATAATGTTCGACTTTTTTATTTTTTAAGTATGTGATAAGTGAGATATAAATGCAGAAAAAATACGATGTCATAAATTTACAATCACATCACACAATTTTATTAACTATGCACATTTTCAAGTGACATTTTGGCAAGCTTAGGTCATTGACACTCTTAATTCATTTGAAACACACTGAAAGCAGATTTCTTTCAAGTACCTATATAAGTAAATAAGTCTTTTTCAAACAATTTACTGTAAAAATCAAATAATCAAATATATACGATTATGCTACGTCTTTGATGTGATATTGAATGTTGTTTGTTATCTTAATATATAACTCTTATATATTAATAATTTATATATTGACGTATACTTAACCTATATTTCTTGTGTACATATTGATGAAGGTACGTGCGTCCATTTTGATTCTTTTATATATATTAAACTACACATTGATTAAATGGACTGTCGTAGTCATATCGGCATTTATTTAATGATATAAATAACTATATTTATATAAGAAAGAAATGGAGGCACTTACCTGCCTAATATGTTGTACATAAATATCAATATAACACCTAAATATATAAGATATCTTGAACATTATGCACAAACATATAAAGCGACGCCAATTGATGTTGTTATGCCATTATGTCTAAAGTAGGAATGTATATAGGTACAATTATATATATATATAGCTATATTATTCTACGTTTATTAGTTAATAGTATGTATAATCTAATTAAATGTTATGTTATTATTGTACGGCAGTACTGTAATTTGCCCACAAATACGAAGTTTCCATGTTTCTGTTTTATTCTTCAATATAGGTACTATGTATTTTTATTATTATTATTAAAAGTTTTTCTGAATAAAATAAGTTAGAAGTACCTACAGTATGTACAGATATAATGTTGAACTGTTTTAAATAAAGTAGAATCAGAATCTAAAAATATGACAAACGAATTGTTATACTCAGGTGGCGTTACTGTAGCGCGCGTGCCCTACTGATTAAAATGATTTAATAATAAAATTTGAGTTTAAACTAAAATAATACTCCATAATAAACAATTCTCTAAATATACGCACGGAGAGAATTCGGAGGCGTAAATACATATGCTACGGTGGCGCCTTCTGACTAACATATTCTGACATAATATGTAATTATTGCTTTCTGTTACTTTATAAAATAATCTCTAATGTGTACTCTGTAGTTGTCCAGCCAGTTGCTAGCATTTTACTATTTACTAAATGTAAATATCTGTAATACTACTAAGTGTTGTTGGAAAATAATACTTAAATAATAATGGCGAACCAAAAATGTAGACAGTTATTTAATGTCAATTAAATAAAATCTATTATAACCTTCAAATTACTAAGAAAATCACGATTAGTGAACTATAAAATGTTGCTTGAATGTAAACTACTTATTTAAAAGTGGCTAAGGAAAGTTTTAAATAATTCAATACTATACAAAAATAATTCTGGCCGTTTCGTTTGAATTAAAGATGATAGTACCTACCTATATCAAAGCAATGTGTATTTAACTTATAAAATTATCAAAATATTAACAATACACTCATGATATATTAATATTACAATTTATTGTTTAGATTATAGTTACATTTTTATAGCATTAATCAACAATGAAACGCAGTGCTATTTTACGGAACGCACAACGACTTTAGAACGTCTCATTTTTTCTAGTTCGTCTTACTTTATTTAGTTTAATCAAATTGTGTGCCTAAAACAAAAACGTGTAGAAATCAAGTACCCCATGTACCTGATTATTTGATTTATGCATTATAATAATACCATATCTAAAGATCTTTAGCAAATAAAATAATTAAAATTGTATCCGAGAAAGGCAGCTATGAAATCAATCAATATCATAACGTCATATATAATGTTCTTCTACATGAATTAAAAGTATATCGAATCTTATGACTAACTTATTTTATTATCAATTTTAGCAATTTAGCTTTGTATACTTAAATATTAAACAAAAATTTAAAAAATAACACCGTTTTAGATAAAAGCTAGACGCACTGATATTAATTATGCCTGTTTTTATTGTTTGAATTATAAATATTAGTGTTATCTATAAGATCTTATAAATAAAAATAAAGACAATATTATAAAAATATGATTATCGATTTAGAAATGAAATATCGATTAATCGATGAATAATCGGAGCGAAGTGTTGCCATATCGATATCGGTTAGGTTTGTTAGTTCATAGTTTTGTGACGAGAATATAAATTCTTATCACAAATATTGTTGTTTCTGTGTAAGTATATGCCTAATAACGTGTTGATGGTAAAAATAAACGTTCTAAAATATTATGTGTTTTCTTTTATAATTTGTAACAATAGCAATTGACAACCAGTTTATAACTTTGAAGTTTTGTCGTATTGTCAAGGACGTAGAAAAAACGGAAGAACAGCTGTTCCGAAAATATAAATTTGTACTTACAGCTCAGCAAAAAAATAGTTTGGAATAAATAATTGAAGTCGCTAGTATCGTACATACCTGTGGCAAACCATAATACCTCTTATGTACTGGTACACGACTCAATCGGTTTTGATATTTGTTATGGAGGTATTATGGTCGTAAAATACTATTAAATATCACGCCTTTTATCCTCGAAGGGGTAGGTAAAGGTGTACATTACGGTAATAGTAATAGAGGGTGAGCCTATTGCCATATACCGGGCACAATTCCAGACGCCATGCTACTACTGAGATTTTTTACAAAACCCAGTAATACTTCGCCCAGTCGCAGTTGCATTTCCGACGACTCGGCTATCGAGGCAGTCCTATGTTCGTATGATTGTTTATTCCTGGGATATAGTCATAGGTCCGACCTAATATATTCACTTGGAATGAATCATCCATTCAGTCAAAGTTAATATTAGTTCCACCTTTCAAAACAACCATGTCTACGTTCAAAAGATCTTATCTATGGGAGGATATTTGTACGGGGATTTCCCAAACATAGACACAAAAACACACAGGCTAAAAGAAATCTTAAAATAATGTTAAACAAAACACGCATAATGAAGTGAGTAATTTTTTATTTCAACTTTTAAACACAATTGAACTAGGTATATAACTATATACATTAAGTAAACTAATTTATTGCTATCTAATCAAAATCAACCCAGTCTTTAATTTTCTTAGTATGGGTAAAAAAATAAGTTGTATCTACTTTAGATACATCATTTTAAAGGTACATACGACATCGAGGTATTTAAGTAAAGGTTTTACAATGGAAGATATTGTAGTCAATGTAAACATATTCCTTGCTTTAAATAAAGTTACTTTAACTTAAGGATTTTTTGTATTAGTTTGCGATCTATTCCACAATGCCTGATTCAGTTCCTGTTAGTCTGATAAATACATATCTTAACATACATGATATCGTACGTATTTTTACCAGCCGTTGCCTTCGACTTCTTCCGCGTAGATTATGATACCTGTTTTATCCCATGACAAACATACATAGAAATTTTCACATTTATAATATTAGTGTGGAGTGTGATACCTACGTCAAGGTTTGGCAACTAACTCGTACCAACATCGCTTAATACTTGGTAGTAAGCGATGACGCGGCCTATGATGGAGCACACCTGACTATTAGCAAACTATTCACTCGGGACTTGAAGACACCGAAGTTGTATCTTGCTGGAAACAGCCTGGCAAAGGGTTCCACTCCTTAGTGGTTCACACACACACAAGGAATCTGAAACGCTTCGTGCATTGAATATACGTACTAAACGTCAGTTTAAAGAAAATCTTAACCAGGCATTGTGAAACAGCCCTTAGTAAAAAAATCAGTAATTTGTGAATTTGAGTAATTTTTATTACAAGTAGACATGTCATTATTCAAAGATTGTAACAATATTTTTCTTTGGCTATATTTTTCTGTCACAATTCAATATTGTCGACTATTTTGAGAGTATTATATTATAACGTTATTATTGCAGTGATGGCAGGAAGGATTCATTAATACATGTAATATGTTCATTGGCAACAAAGCTTACGGTTGGCTTGATGGTGATTGTTTTTTTTTTTAATACCGGAAGACTACATACTCTTTTATTTATGGAATAGGAGGCAAATGAGCAGACGGATTACCTGATGGTTAAGGTCACTTAAATAATTTTAGTATAGTAATGGAACCTAATAGAAAAAGTTATTCACTCAAATAGTTTTTGAATAAAAAATGCAACAAAACTTTCATTTGATTAACTCGTGAGTAAATTAAGTAAGTACCGAAATTAGCTAGTATTCTCAAAGTAATCATGAATTTGTTTATAAAATCAATATTGTTATATTTTAACTAACATTTGATTCAATTTGTAATCTAGTTTCAATGTGGCAATTCACACTCTAGCTAAAACAGTCTGGTCAAAAACAATTATCCTTCTTAAGTTATATTAATATTCCAAAGAATTAGTACACTCTTAACTAGAACATTGCTTATCCTTGCAGTGTAATGGGAACTAATTTTAAACTACAAAGTCTTATAATAAGTTGGTCATAATTACCATTTATAATAATCATACTAAATTCTATCTACGTATTTCAGTTTGTATGTACTAAATTTGTTCACTGCTATCCGCATCCCTTTTCTCAGTCTCCGCTTTCTTCAATTTCTTCGCTTTTATATCAGCCATAGTCTGTTCGATAGACCGTTGATCTTTCTTATTCTCACTAGGAACTTCTCCATAACTCTTGTTAACATTCGTTTTTTGGGCAGCATCGATAGCAGCCTCTTGACCAATCAAGTGAGCATACTTCTGTTTATAGAATGTACCACTCAATTCCTCCTGACCACGCTTCCGTTTCCTATTTTTCTCTTCTTCTAAATCTAGAGCTGCTTGCTTCTGTTTTTCAAAATGTGCTAAAGCCATTTCAGCTGCTTTGTCTTCACTCCACACTCCACCGGCTCTACGTACTGTCAGTTCATCTTCAGAAGGGCCATTATCTTTGAAGTACACCACAGAATACCGGTCTATACCTTCTTGGCCAAACGAGAAGACTTGTAAACCAGCGATTTCTGATACATCTCTGATAATAGACCTATACATCTGTTCCATAGGTTCAAATTGTAGATGTGGTTTTTTACCGTCTTTTATGAAATTGCTTATTTTCTCTTCGACACGTTTTCTGAATCTGTTTATCATATTCCGTTCCTCTTTCTGTCTGTTTTCCATTGCCTCTTTTTGTTTGCGCATGGCAGTTTTCTGGGCTTCGCTAGCCGATGGAGGCTTTTGCATGGAATTGAGGATTGAGTCGAGTAGATCCATGATTAAATCTGGTTTTCTGATATGAATGATGTGTATGAAAGTATTTCAGTTATCCTCTTCTGCCAGTTTACAGGAAAGCGGAAGTTGTCTCCGATTGCTTCTGTATTTAGTTCTTTTAGTGATAGTATGTTCAGTGATGTTTCTATTTGGGCGCACACTTGACTACCAAATGTTATTGTATCTTCAGCAAATTCCAGCAGTTGTTTTAATGAAGGCTGAAGAGGAGTACCCTTTACTAAGGCAGAGTTGGCTTCGAAATCAATATCCCTGCAGCTTTCCCTCAGTGTGGTGTTTTTATTGCAGAGTTTCTCAAAAAGCTCTTCTAATGTGCACCTGAAATTTAAAAATGGTATTTTAAAGAATGTATACTTTGTCTTTCTTTTTAATTTACTAAGCATAAAGGTTTGATCTGGTCTTTATGATGTATAGAAATAAATTATTTTACATCTCGAATATTAGCTCTGTCAGGCGTAGTGACTCACAATGGCAGAATATATTATTAGTTACATTTGAGTATTTGACATTTACATTGTATAGAATCCCTTCATAAGAACAATCATCATTATTGTATAATATTACAAGTAACAATAATATTAGATTGGTTAAAAGTAACAAACCTTCTTTGAATTTAAAAAAAACAACACTAACTAACATAATGACTTCCTGAATTTCTGTACTGTTTGTGAGTGGTAATGAGCAATACTGAACACTATTATTTAAGAAATAGAAGTCATTTTAAAAATACCACTTAAATCATGAATAAGATGTGGTATTTTTTAAGAATTTGGCAGTTCATCTGAAGGCATATTCTGATATCATTTTATTCTATGTTTTTTTCAGGTAGTGATTAAACAGTTTCTACTCAAAAAATTAACACTATAAGGATGAAATGATAAACGAAAATGTCCAGTTATGCAATGTAGGAAAATCTTTTCCAAAGTCAGGGTAATCAAATCCTGAATACAAACATCGTTTATCAATTAAACAATAACCTAAAATATATATTTACTTAGATAAACAGTATGTTTCAATGAACTTAAATTGTTTAAAATGTAAAGATAAAGAAATACTTACAATTTACTCCTGATATCTTGTACGTCTTCCGAGATTAGGTTAAGTATGGAAGCACTTAGCTTGCTTTGCAATCCTTCAAATTCGTCCAACGGCGTACCCGTCACGACCGCCCTACAACATCAAAATGTCGTTACACGCGCTCGTAAAACACAAACAATAAATTTCTTAGTAATTTCACTCACTCCTTTATGTTCTTGCAACGCTTTATCAGTTTATTTATAGACGCAGCGCAGTTTTGGCAATCTTTCAAACTTGTTTTCACTACCGTATGAAATTCGTCGAAATATGAAAAGTAGTCAATTAGTTGTTTTTGTACTTTCGTTTCCATTATTTGCGAAATTATCCATGTTTTGTTTATCACTGTTTGTTAAAATGTTCGCATTTACTCCTCGGTGCCTCAATAAATAACACAAGAAAAAAGCGAATGACTGATTGAAAAGTGAAGTTTATTGAAGTGAAGTAAGCTGCGAACTCAAATGGTACTACTAGAAAAATGACAGCTTATTTCGTACACGAAGTGAGCTATGAAAGATTGGGTTGGAATTTTTTTTTTAAATGAGCAGTGAGTTCAGATAATATATAGTTTTAATTTAAAATAAAGATACAGAAATTGCTCAGAGCAAATAAGTAATTGTTAAAATTGTCGCTAAGAATCAACAATATTTTTTATTTTAGTTTCAATTCTAACTTACATTATTTTTGTAGCTATCTTCATAAATAATTTTATGATTGTAAGACGGTAATCGTAAAAGTTGGAAAATCGGTATTCTACCGAAAATTTTTATCAGCGAAGAGCAAATCTTTTTTTATCAATTATATTTTTATAAAATGTTTATATTTTCTTTTGTTGCCTCGGTAAAGTTCGATATAACTCGGCTAGTGGTCGATTGCACCTGTCAAAACTAGGAACCAATAGCAAGCCGTCGTATGTGACCTCGAAAAATACCAGTCTTGATTTTGATACGAAGAGAAGTGCATGTCTAAATTTATCGGGTTTTAGTAAATGAAAACACGTCGTAGATCTCTTAAATTAATAAGTGCCTACCTAAATATTTTTGATCAAGTGTGCAATAAAATGAGTGTAATTGATGTGATGTAATTTGAGCTTAACTCAAGATAATTGTGTTTTTGCTTTCGTGAAAATGAATGGCAAACTGCATAGTGAAACCGGCGCTTTCTCATCTGACGACATGCGCGCCGAAATATTGAACCCTTTCGTCCACAAATTGGAGCTAGATAACACATATGACAAAATAAAGGTACGGAAACGATGAAAGCAGGTTCTCAATTGCATAACTCAGTAAAGTGAAAGTATTTTTGTAATGTAGTAAATGTGTAAAAGCTCTACAACGAGACATTCTGCGCATGTCTAAATCTAATAATGACTTAGTTATGAAGAAAATGCTGCAAATTAGATATGGAACCAAAACAATAATTACAGCAAAAAATTACGTTTATTGTTCTAAGTACAAGATGAAACATAATTATAGTTAGGAGCCTGACCATAATTTAATGCATTGTGATTATATTGTTACTTAATTTATTCAAAAGTATTCTAACACCGAATGAGGAACAATTAAATTAATGCGGTTGCCAAATATGTACTCTAGAAAATACTTGTCTTCAAGGCCCTGTACTTGTGTTATTGACAATGAATTGTTGAATACAAATAAATTGGACCTTCCATTATCTTTTGCTTTTTATTTATTTTTTATTGCATTTGAGACTAACTCTGATTTTAATGTTCGGATTTCAATAACAGTTTTAAATTTTAATTATTATTCACCTTCGTGATACGTTTATAACTATGCTAATTTACATAAAGAACAATATTATTACGCATTTTACATAATTCAAAAAAAATATCACAAAACATTAGCCTAGTAAGCATTGAAGAATCTATAAAAGATATTAATAAGTTTTGTTATTTCGATTTCTGCATTGTTGACACAGAGTGGTTCTATGACAGGACATACGTAAGTACTTCACATGCCCAAATGGGCAATGAGTAAATATTTAGGAAATACCTACTAAATAGAAAAAAAGAAATCACTATAAGTAGTATTGGAGTGGCTAACTACTGTTATCTATCTCTTCATCTTAGAAATACTTACATCTACAATCAAATCGAAACACTACGACGCGACATCTAGGTACATACATGTAATCAAGAAAGAACATAAAACAATACAATCTAAAATACATAAGAAGCAGATTATATTAATATATGAAGCATCAAAATAATGCGAAAATGCAATTATAAATCTATATCTACTTTGCTGTGTATTACGTTCAACAAATAGGTAATTTATAACATTTATTGTTATTCATAACTGTTAAAGCAACAATGTTAAGATTTTAATCATTGGTTGTGGTGTACGGAAACAGTTACTCATAATCTTTATGTGAGGGAAAGTCAGTATTTTTCATGATACATTCTGGTACCGTTTTGTGCAGACCGCGAGATAGACATCGTACAACGTACAACACTAGTCACGCAATCGCGATGAAAGAAAGTGACATCATTTTCTTACAATTTTCGCCGCTTATTGAACTTACTTATGTAACAGAAACATCGCATAAACAAACTTTATATGGAAGTAAGAATGTTTAAAACATCTCAGTAATTATTTTAATAAAAATAAAATATAAAATGAGACAACAAGTTTAGAGAAAGTGCGTTTGATGATATAATAAATTATGTTGGTTGCGTAACAACGAACAGCAGCTTGTTACGCATCTATTGGTGCAGACATCGTTGTTTTCATATTTTGTTCGACGATTAAATGTTTGTTTACTACTATTTGATATAATTTCTATCATCCTAGACCCACAAAACAATACAAAAACAGCTACATAGGTACATCTAATCAATTATTTAACGAGAAGCTGTTTACTTCATTATATCTTAGCTACCAATCTATACATATAAGTTTCAATATAGAAATGTTTTGTGCTAACCTTAGTACTAAATAGTATTGCTGAATCATTGAAGTGAGATTTATCAAACTCGTGGTACAGATGCATTTGGCATGGGTATCAACAGGCGACGAAAATGAAACACGTGTGTTTATATTATGCGTTGCATCCATTCATAGCACTAAAGGTTAAGTAATGGGGTAGACGACTAATTTTTATTTTAAGTAACCTATGGAGTTTCTTGCTCGTTCTTCTCCATAGGAATCTACGCCTTGGAATGAGCAAATAGCTTCACTTTAAATTTTTGTTTTTGTTGACGTTCAAAAGTGCCATTCTGGCCTAATTGAAATAAATGATTTTGACTTTGACTTTGACTTTGAAATGTCCGTCTGATAGATTATTTAAAAACATTAGACACGTATTTTTTCTTTTCTCACAGAAACGAATAGTTTCGAAGATATATTGATTTGAAATGTCGCGTGACGTCACTTCTCAGTATATTTTATACTAAGAAATGACGTTTTAGCCCCCACTCCTAAACTTTGATTCGTTTTATCTAAGTATTGTTTTATTATACGACAAAATAAAAAAATACGTGTCTAATATTTTTTCATTACCTAACTTACGGACTAATTATATTTTTAATTTTCATACCCTGTCATCATCCCCATTTGCGTAATATTTATATTGTACAAAATATCATAATAATATTTTTGTTATTTACATCGCCTTATTTTTTATAACAGTAAATACAGTTTTATTTATCTAGAATAGAATAAAAAATAAATAAATTGCATAATTTAATTAACAAAAGTGAATTTATTTCCACGCAATGCAGTTTATGATTTATAATGTAATAACATAATTTGCATAATTATACTTTATTTAAATTACAATGCTTATAAATGTATAAAATACTGCACATAGGTACAAGCAGTTTTAGAAATTTGAGAAAAGTCTTCAAATAGGTACGACAATTATTTTCGGTTTAACCTCAATACTTACTTGATTAACCTAGCGATCATTCTGAAGACAATGATACATTAAAAATAACATCTGATTCTCTAAAAACTGCATGAGTCATTATTCAAATAAAGATCACTTTACTGGAAGTTAGTAATTGTACCCAATCACTCTCGTATAACAGTTATTCTAAAGTTTAAATTGTTCTGCCGCATGCTAAAGTTTTATTATCGTTTGTTTCAGACGGCAATATTCACAGTAATATTACTGCCTTTTCGTGTCATCGTTATTTGTTACCTAATAGTAACGGCATGGTTCCTCGCGTGTATTGGTCTCTATGGCCTCAGCGAAGAAGATCTTAGGCGAAAGCCTATGACGGGATGGAGAAGGTAACACTTTTTATTGATTTGTAATTTAAGTGACTTTTTGTTTGTATTATGGTCTTTTGCTGTTTGTGTATGTTGTTTTGTTCCTAGTCATCTCTGAAATAAATCTTAAATATACGTATTTTACGTTCTAAGTATCACCTTGGTAATACATACTTATTAGTACTGTTTAAAATGCGATAATTATATTCATTATTCCACAGAAAAAAAATGAAAACAAAAATCTGTGTCATTCACGTTATAACGAAGTAGGTACCATAGTTTCTGCAGTTAACCACTTGTCTGATGCTCGACGAAGCGTTCCATAAGTAGGTCAATTTTGTGTTCGGGTATGCAAGAGCACCTTGGTCTCACAGATTCACGAAACGGAACGTAACTGCAGACTAAATAAAAATAACGCAAGGTCAATTTGAAAGACTTAGTATTATCGGTTACTTTGTCCTTTTCATTTTTCACGATTTCTATTTAACTGGTAATTAATCTTCTATGTTAAATGTCTGACAATGTTAGCAAGAGTCATCAGTAAGCGCTGGCTAAACACGTACACAGGTATCTGAGCAATTTACTTTCTTTGGTATGTATGCCAGATTGCTGTCTCGATAGATGAATGGAATGCTTTGAAATGATTTCTGCTGTCATATTCAAGTCGACCTTGATGACGTTTTCATAACATTGTAAATAACGCAGACTATAAACGCTAAAATGGCGAAAAAATAGTTGACATCATTTTATATTTTTAAAGACTAAATAATAGTTTTGTGTCGTATGTCAATGCATTTTTGACGAACATAACAAATGAGAAACCGGTAATTTTTATAAAACCGGTTTTTAATGTTCAACTGGTAAAACACCTCTAAAGTTAGTTCCGATCCGAATTTGATTTTATTTTTGTTAAAATGTGTTTATTAGGTGGTTTTTGATATCTTTTGATTCATAATCATTATTCAGTATGAGAATTAATAATGATTTGTATTTGTATGTTACGTAGCCATAAATGATTTAAATTATAATTATTTAACAAATATCATCTTAGGTACTGTCGGTAACTAGACAGGTAATGTAGATTCGAGATTTTCGTTCATTCCAGTAGGTAATTTCATGAACCACAGAAGTAATTTACTTGTTTGTGTGATAAAATTTCATACCCGGTAAGGCATTGAATTGTCAGCCATTTATGTAAGCAGGTTTATCAGTGTAGGTAACGATGTAGATCATTAATATTGTATTTACATAACATATATTATCTAGTTTACTTATATTTGTTACGTCTTAAAAATTTAAGTTCAAGAGGTTAGCATCCGTGCAATAGCATAGAATATTGAATTGGAAATTAGTGAAAAAATTTTTTCGCGTTATGTATCGAAATTTATTTACTATTGTGTAGCTTAATAGTCCTAATGGACTCGGGTTTTCTTGTTCTGGCTGTATCTTTTTTTACTGCTAGGTAAACATGTTAGCGCCATCTGGTGAGGAAAAAACCTAAGCCCTCATTGTTTATGATTTTTCATTTATGATTACAGAATTGTAGGTGATTAGCAAGTGTTATTTTAATTTAACCTTTCGTGTGTTTAAACCGCGGATCCACGCGAGACACAATATATTTCTATTGTGTCTCATAGCATTCAAAAGGTTAAATGTCATAAATAAGTAATTTATTTTTGCATAAAAAATCGGATGTCGAAGTTTTTGCAGTCTATGGTTACCATAGAGCCAGAGCCAATAAAGAAAGAGCCAAAGAGTCGTTAGATCATGGCGGGCGCTAGCTAGAAAGCGCGGGAAAGTGGACAATATGGTTATTGGTTCTTGCCGCAGTGTCATCTTGACCTCTTTGGTTGATAGGCTTTTTTGTGCTAAGAAAATGATCGTGTGTTAATTTTGTTATCATCAACAAATCGAACATTTATTTTGCTGCTGTAATTTTCTGCTGATAGCCAAGTAGGTATCTAGACTTAGGTAATGTTTAACCCAAGGTGGTTTATGTAGACCTATTCAAGTACTTACAGACGTCATCATTTGTTTTATACCCAAATATTCATGTTGATTGAGTACAATTTTCGTTAGCAAAACGAAAGTGTTTAACTTCTGAACATTGGATATATCTTGTTAAAAAAGATGTACCACTTACTTATCTGCAAAGACCAAGACGTATCATACCACTGTCAATCGTCATTAATTACTTTAAAAAGACCAAAACAAAAGTACCTTTGTATCATCAGCAAATCAATCAAGCAACCCAATAAACACTTTCGACTCTCTCCTTTTGTAATAACGTTGAAAATGCAATAAAATATGTCATTTTGGTGTAGTTTTATATTATGCTGTGTGCTATTCACAATTAAAAGTAATTACTAATAGTTTTTGCTTCCATAGTCAGTTGAGTTTCTAATTACTCGTATTTAAGTAGATATCGCTTTTATTTCAATGCGAGCAATATAAATATAAAGTACAATCAACCAACTTAGTTAGTTTGCACCTGCAAACTGAGGTGAGAGAATTAAGTTTGATTCAGTACTGAAGAGACAGTAACGATGGCTATAAGAAATGGTGTGCTTTTTAGCGAAGACGTATATTAAGTAGGTAATCGTCAATGGTTATTGTTTGCCTGACCGGCTGCGGACAACCGCAAGTGTTACCAGGACTACGGCTTGAAACAGAAGTTACGTTAGGTTTTTCTAATACTCCCTCTAGCCTCGACCAGCGCGGGAGGAGATTTCTGATATTTTTTCAATTATACATAACATCACACCTTTTATCCCCGAAGGGGTAGGCAGAGGTGCACATTACGGCACTTAATGCCACTGTACAATGTAACACCCACTTTTCACTATTTTTGTTATGAGCCCCATGTAATAGAGGGTGAGCCTATTGCTATATACCGGGCACACTTCCGGACTCCGTGCTACTACTGAGCGTTTTTAAAAAAACCCACTAATACTTTGCTTGACCCGGGATTCGAACCCGAGACCCCTTGCTTGGCAGTTGCACTTGTGACCACTTGGCCAACGAGGCAGTCGATTGATGATTTTCCCTATCAAAAGAAACATGTTACTATCTCTGTACTGAAGCAATCGTTTCCATCTGCATACGAAACAACTTGGTCGATTGTACCCTTGGGAAATTATTGTCTAGTCATCGCCGTAAATGCTTCGTGATTCAGGTCTGTCAGTTGTGATTATAATTGAACTAGTTCAATGGTATCTATTTATTGTGGAGTCCAAATGTAATGGTCCTACATACTTCTGTACTTATACTTAGGTATGTTGGCGGAGGTATAACTGATGTTGTGTTTTGTTTTGTTTTTATTTTTTTGGCATTTTATCTACGAGTATAATAAAACGGTTGAAATCTAAAAGGTCCAAAACTAAAGCAAAACTGTTTTAGGATTTGTTGTTAATTTAATTTCAACTTTATTTTTTTGTTGGTAATTAGGTTGAGTATGTATAAAAGGAACAGATGAGAGAAGGTTTATCTGCCAACTTTTTTAATTCACTTATATTATGTGTACCTACAACTGTGTGATTAATGATGAAGATTTTTTACCGATCAGATTATGTTCGTGTGTAATAACGGAATATATTGTAACTGTTCAGCCCTTTCGTCATCAGATTGATGATCATACGGATCAAAGGTATAGTTAGTAAGATTAATGAACTGGCCCAATTTAAAAAGTTATCATCATCTATTTAGATCTGTGTTGATTTTTGAAGAGACAGATGATGAAGAGATGTTTATGGATGAAACTATTGGCTTAGTAAGACTATTCCGTGGTCTTGTATTTGATTACTAGATGCGTGGCCTAAAGACGTTCGTAATTGCCTCACGCTTTTATTTACCGAAATAAAAACTTGTGCGGTTCGTACCCTTTGTTACTATAGCCAGATTGGACCATGTAGGTACCTATTGAAGGCTCATGAAACCCCTAAGCATAAGATAATAACTCACATGCCCATGGCTAGTACGCCACTGAACTGGATCCTAATAGTAATTTTGTCTTTACTGCTGTTTAGTGACTTTTGGTACAATGATGTTCAGCAACATTTGGCTTGATGGTGTACAGCGCCTTTAGGCATACTAGTGCACAGATACTTCTGAAATAGTAGTATTTAACGAGTTTTGTAAGTTTCTGGTGTACAGGCTATTTCGTTTCCTAGTTGCGACTATAATTTATGGCATTTTACAGTGAACAGGTGTTTTGTTATATTGATTCTGTTCACCGACTTTTGGTGCTGGTACAGTCAGCTATTCCGAAGGGTCTATTCTGTGCCTCTTTCTTTAGGAAATAAAAGATGTCAAGTTATTGATACAGAGTCTGTATCAAACTACCAAAGTACTTACCAATTAATATACAGTATTAATCCGTCAAATGGGGTGGATAGCGATCGAGAGGTGAATAGAGACAGAAGAGGGGTAAATTGATATCGGGAAATTATTCATAGTATCAATTCACCCCTTTTTTGTCCCTATTCACATCTCAATCTCTATTCACCCCATTTTACCGTACTTGAGAATAAGTCAACAGAAATAATTCACTTTTCATCATCTTAAAACCTTGACTGGTAACTCGAAGTGAACGTAAGCAAACATTGTTTTGAAAATTCAAAATACCGCAATACTTAATGAGACGAATTGCATGGATCAAATTGCGGTGCAATCATTGTGTGTGACGTCTTTACGCTTTTTGTCGAAATAATATAAGTGGTTAAGTATTTAAATAATCATACATACTTACTTGATTACGTAACGTAGAGATTGTAAGTAATTTTTGTTAATAGTATTTTATTATGACTTTTAAAGGAGATTGTCATAAAGACAAACAATTCAGTCGATCCACGGTCGATCCACTGTCAAATAATGCAATTACGAATTATTGTCATACCTTTGTTGATATTTTAACTTTAGTATATTCTTAAGCACTGTATTGTATCTGTATTGTAATAAGAAACCCTGCTTCTGTTGGTTAAATGTTCATTTTTCAATAAATTATTCTAATTCTAAACTTTTAGAGATATAGGTTACCTATATCCAGCCCTACCTATATTCATCGTAGCGTTTGTCCAGCGTAGGAGTTCAATAAACGTATGCTCCGTGTTGACGCCGCGACTATGAGGCGTATACGTATAATGGACGTCTTCACTGATAAAACGCTAGTGTGAAGGCGCTCGTAATAGTAATTTTGATTAACAAAACCCATTGCACCTTTCTACTTTACTTAAAAATCAAACTTAAGATCTTACAACCTGTTAAAAAACTAAAATATACCTTATGGCCGTGTATCATCTAAACACATTATTCTCTGATTGATTGGCGTTTCTTGTTTCTTGTAACGTAAATGTTTTAAATATCACATTAGATATGCAAAAACTAACAGAAGGTCAGATATAAGATCAAATAACCTTCTATGGGGACGTGCGAAATAGTTTTTAGAAATATATATTGATGTTGTTTTATTTCCTACTTATGTCATAGGCGGTTGTCATTATTTCCGGAACCGATAATTAATTTAGATTTACTTAAATGCGAATTCAATTTTTTATCTATGTGTGTATATTTCATATATTTTTATATCTAGTTGATTTTGGTCTTTTAGATGTAACGATATTAGTACTTCATTTTCAAATTCTTTTAGCTAATTTATTTTTTAAAGTTTTCTATTTGACGAAATAGCATGAGGTCACACACAACACACAATCTCAAACAAAATAAAAAAAAAAAGATCATTTTATATTTCGAAATAACTGAACTTGACGCAGAATAAATGTAAAATCTTTTTTTCTTTCTGATCATGCTTTTAAAGTATCTTAATCTTTAATTCTTATTTTAAAAAGGGGTCATCCAAAAGTTTTATCGCTATAGGTTATGGAATTTGTCACCAAACACTGATGAGCTATGACTCATATAATAATCGCCGATATACTTATCATACGACTTCGTACGACTAACTTAAACACACAAAATTCGAGTTTATCAATAAAATCGTATGATCTGATTAGATTAATATCAGTGCTTGCGGTTTTTTCGGCGCTATCCAAACGATGTAAGCGTGAACGCAGTTTTTAGATACGGTCCAATGGAATGTAAAGTAAAATGAGGAAATATATGTGGGTCATTAGATACTTTGTGTTGTATGTTTGGGTCCAATGGTGTTACGTCAGTTATATAGAAAACATTTGTTACAACAACATTGGTTGTATCTGTTGGTATATTGGTTCCAAAGTATATTATGTTGGTACTGATATGGACCAAAGTTGGCTATGAAATAAAATGTATTGTGGTTGACACAACTTCTGTTTTAAGTCACAACTTTTTCACATAATTAATTAGTTAATTATAATGAATTGTTAACTTACTTTCTTATCCAATGATTGTTTTTAATTTATTAGCACGCGAAGGCCGGTCGATTTAAAATGCTATTCATGTACTGTCCGTTACTGTACAGACAGTTTTCAAATGAAGATAAATGAATAATCAACACTTTCTATTTCACCTGAGTGAGATCGTTACTTTCTCACACAAACCGATTATGTTAACATGTTATTTTGTTGTTAAAATATTGTATTTTATGTTTTTTTATTGCGTACTATAAGATTTTATGCCTGGCTTTATATGAGAGACCCGTCATACAAGTTATAACTTAGACATAGTCTAACGGGACATTTAAAAAACGACGCACACTTTCGATGGTGATGAAGTTAGGCTTAGTTTTAACTAATAGTGTTTCCGTATCTATACGTAAGTACATTAATCGTAAGAACCGGTTTCCTAAACACGGTGGAGGCATTCCAAATAAACGTGACAGATTCACACGTTTTTGTTCGTAAAAAGATTAACAATTGGAATATAACATATTATTATATTAAAATTGAATGCATGATGCTAAACGTGGTATGTGGGTAACTAACATTCCTGAAACTAACAATGGCCTAATTTTCACCTTCGTAACAATAAGGTTTGTTCCACAGCAAACTGCGCTTCTCGATCTTGTCGCTAATGCGGTTGGTGGTGGTGGCAGCGGGGTTCCATCGGGTTCGAGTGCTGGGGCGGCAGCACGTGCCTTCTAACTCTCGGGAAGCCCCCGTGGTGGTGATGGCACCACATTCCACCTTCTTCGACGCCATCGCCATCGTCTGCCTCGGTGCACCCAGCGTGGTGGCCAAAGCAGACACCGCGAGGTTGCCGTTCATAGGACGTAGGTCTATAGTCGCATGATCGTTAACATTGTCTAGCTATTCCGCTTGCATTACTGTGGATGTCTCTAATTTTATGTGTGTATATTTTGCTTGGCTTGTCCCGTGTGTTGTGATAACAGCTTTTTTTATTACCTACGTTATGTCCTGCTTGCATTGTCTCACATTTCTGCTAACAGTATCTCTACATTTTATGTTTTGCTTGCATTTTCTTGTATATCTCTCTCACAGTTTTTTCGGTCTTGTGCTGAAACAATAGTGCTTTTTCGGTTACATTTCAGTTTATACGTTGCCCGTCAAAATATTTAGAGCATGAATTAATATGCAGAATCATGAATTAGCCTTCACTGTGTTATTGAGAAACGGTCTCAACAAATTAGTGTACATTGTAGTGTGGTGTTTTTTCCTCACTTAGTATTTAGAGAGCTTGCTTGAATGCTAATGAAGTTTGTTATTGCTTTTACTGTTGTCTGAATGGCTTCTAATTTTTTTTTAATTTACCTGTTTTAGTGTACAGATGTTTCTGTGCAAGCCATTAATGTCTTAAATAGTTTTGATATTTGGATCTACTGTGTTGATTAAAGTTTTGATCTAATTGCGGGATTTTTGGGCTTCTCAATCTTGACTGCCTTCTGAATCGTTGGAAATGTTCGCATGCTTTTTTATTAAATGACCTTCCTGTTAGTATTCGTATATTTTTCCTAATTAGTAATTCCCACATAATCCCATAACAAATAAAGAATTATTTTCCTGTTCTGATACGTGAAACAGGAATCAAATGTACCTACTCGGTTTCATGCTTCACCTAGCTTTACTGACGTACTGACTGACAGACTATAATTTATTTTGTATTTAGGTATTGACGTTTCATAAGAACCAAAGTATGGTTTAGTTGAAATAAATGCTTTGACTTTGACTTCTCTCTTTATCGGCTTTGCTATATTTTGATATATGTTTTTATAGTACAGTGACACTGTTATGATCTATAAATCACCCCACTCTCCAAAATACCCGAATCCTAAATCCCTAACAATCCTCAAATTCCTAATTCCGTAAAGGCCGGCAACGCATTTGTAACACCTCTGGTGTTCCGGGTGTCCATGGGCGACGCCAAATACTTACCATCCGGGCATCAGGTGATACGTCTGCTCGTTTACTGGCTTATTGTATAAAAAAAATGCAGTGTAATTATATGAATGTATAATGTAGGTTATTTTTTTATATATTGACCTTGAATATATGATAAAGTGACACATTTGACGCCATTATTCGAACTGATTATGACGAATTATCTCAATAGTTATTGCGAAATACGTGAATCACTAATTTTATGACTAAGTTCGGATTAAAATAAATATTTAAGTATTTGTTGTTGTAGTAAAATCAAATATTTAATATACAAATGTTGCTTTTGTAGTTATTAACGTTTGTATAATAATATTATGTTGTAGCACATAGAAATTATTACCTACTAGGTATATAATATAGCTATTCCTGTGCAGTTTTGTCCACTGCTCGACTCCTATTTATCGTAACGTGATGTTTAATACCCTGTAGCGTTCCTCGATAAATTGACTTATCTCACACAAAAATAATTATTCAATTCGAAACAGGACTTCTGGAGATATGCTCGTTCAGCTTAGATAATATTAGTAGAAAGATTCTTCAACCAGACTCTATTTTAGTGTATTTGGACAATAAACGAGTGGTTTTATCATAGTAATGTAACATCCATCTTGATTCATTATCATTATCAATAGTTAGTCACAGACCACTGTTGGAGTATGGACCTTTACCTCCGAGGGTTTGCCATAATATCCAACCCTTGGCAGGCAAGTTGGAGATTGTAAATTCATCTACATAAAGTAGAGTACCAAAAGAAGTACACAGAGCGGATATGAATGGGGTTACGGTAGAGGACGCTCTTGACGGACATATACTGACCAGATCGGCGACATTAAAGAAGGGCCAAATTAAAAGTACCCTTAACCGACGAGCATGCATGAAAAGATTGATGACTGTTGATAAAGCGAAAGAGGTAATCGTAGCAATTGGCGTTGCATAGTCTATGTCTACCCCATGGGAGACAGGCGTGAAGTTATGTATAAATGTACGTATGTAAATAAAGTAAGAGCTACCTAAAAAGCATGGCTCACGCCTAAACACGCTATTATGTATTAAGTTTGCGTTTTTATGATACTGAATACGCCCAAAACCCATTTATTTGGTTGTAATAAATGTTTTTAAAAACAATTTATTTTCATTTCACTACGGTATTAATGTTAAACTGTCAAATACCAAGCGGTCACCGGTGACCGCGACCTATTGTTCTTTAATTGTGTCTATAAAACCGGTACTCGACGAGTTAATGAATGTTATAGAGGTATATATAGGTTGACTAATTCTTACTATTAAGACTATTTTCCAAGATAAAGTTTTAGTCTTGTAAAGCGATAAAAATCATGCTTACTTTAATTGATTTCCAACTTAGTAGAGTTAGGATAAGGTTAAAAATCAAGTGTACCTAGGTGATAGATTTATGACGAAACTGCAGGCTATGATGAACCGTAATACTTTTCTCTTCTCAGCAGTCTCGCTTGTACTACTACTACTAATGAGGAAGGAACGAGATACTAAAAAAAAGTCAGCTACGTAGTCAAGTTGGTCATTCATCTCAACGCCATTACTGACCATACCTACTATCAATAAAAGCCACAGAGTATACATTTGTCTGTCAAACTGACAGCTCTGTCTTACTACTCTATGTCAAACGTTTTTATAGCACTTTTTTATCTGTGCCGTTAACGGAAACAGTTCGAAATTACTGTCAACTTTGATAGTCTTTATGCAGTTATGTTAGAGTTTACTTTCGTGTTATGCTTATCATAAAAAGCTTGTATGTATTTTCTGTATGCTAGTTAGATTTTATCTTGTATCTTAATAACTATTTCACTGGAAATAATGAAATTAATTAGATTAATAATTTATCTGAAATGAGATTGACATTGCACTTGGTATTACTGACCTAAGGCAATGTGACTAATAGATACATACATATAATTGGGTACTCGTACTTGCCAATTAGTCAAATTCAATACTTTTTTCGAACTGTCAAAAACTACAGTTTTCTATGAATTTTGTACGAGATTGTGTATTGTGACGTCACGTTTTTTTAGAGTCAAACATCATACTTATGTTTTTGCTGGTAAAATACTAAAATTAAGTTGGTCATAAAATCAATGAATATAAAAAATATCACACTTGATATTTTTTTTTATATTTTATTGTATTGAACAGTCGAAATAATTTATTTCCGATGAAGGCAAGAGTACCCAATTTTAAACGTTATCAACTAAACTAAACAGTAATCCATTCAAAATTCGAATGCTCGAAGATTTGAATCGTTTAGATAACCTGTAACTGTAGCCAAATGCCATTTAGCACCTGTCTACATGTAGAATAGAAAACCAAATTATATGGAATTGACGTAAATTTTGACACTTGTTAGTGTCATCCCCATACATTTAGTTTTCTACTCTCTCTGTAGACAAGCGCTAAAGTGGTGTTTGGCTAAAGGCACTGGAGCTTGAATCCTAGGTCTCATATTTAGCCGTCGTCCTTGGAACCATCGTCGAGTCATGTTATCCCTAAGACCAACTAGGCAAGCGCCTAGGGGACCGGGTTATAGACAGCGCCGCAAATGCCCAAAGAGTGGCGGCGCGGCGCAAAAAAATTAGAGGCAACTATAAGGTGCTTGAATATACAGGGTGGAATTTTGTAACGCCAACTGAAGGGGAACTTTTAATACTTTAAAATGAAAGTCGAAGCATTTATTTCAATTAAACCATAATTTAGTACTTTTGAAACGTCAACAAATACAAAATAAATAATAGTCTGTCAGTCAGTCCGTCAGTGAAGCTAGATGAATCTAGCTGCTCATTCTAAAATGTAGATTTGAATGGAGAAAAACGAGAAATAAACTACAATCATTACTCTTTTTAAAAAAGTACGTTCTACAATGTCTCTGATACATATTCCAATACTGTACGTAGATATATGTGAGAACAATGCAAAGACACGGTTGACGCATTATATTAATTACAAAATTTACTAAAATAAAAAAACAAACCAAAAGTTTAAGTGTTTTAACCATTGGGTCAACCATTGAATTAATAATTTAAGAATTCATTGTTTTCTTTTCATTCAATTTATGAAGTTCCTTAAAGAAATTTCATCCTTATTGACCCTAACAATCGATGCAATAAAAGTACAGGGTGCAACTTTTACAGATTTTAGTCGGTTCGATTACCGTGTTTTTAAAAATCTTTAAAAGCCGTTTTCTTTCTTTTCAAAAATAAAGAAATGTTTTCTTTGAGTAAAATTTTCTATCTAAAGTATTAAGTGTCAAGAGTTTAGGTGTCATTACAACATTCCATCCCGTATAATTATAATTCATATTTCTGTGGATGCCTGCCTAGGGCGCTGTCGAGGTTTAATTTGCTACAGCAAAAAAAAAAACTATAGTCTATTAGTGGAGGCAAAACTTAATTAGAAAATTATGAAGAAGGAGCCCACTATACATATAAACACTAAACAAAGCTAAACACATCTAAACTCAATGCCATTGACACAGAGAAGCTGTCATTATATTACGTATTTGACATTGACCCACTTGTAAATCAATTTTGGTTTTTGGAATTACAATTTCATTTTGATTTGAATGGTGTATTTTATGGCATTCGTAGTGGATCTCATTTTCTTTTGTATACACATTATTGGATAGGTATTTATTTCTTAGACGGTACATTTGGTGCGGTGGCTGGGCAACCCGGCTGACACGCAATGTGTAGCGGTTTCGATTCCCGCACCGAGCAACTGTGTTTGATCCACAAATTGTTGTTCCTGGTCTGGGTGTCATGTGCGTGTTAAATTGTATGTTTGTAAACGCACCCACGACACAGGAGAAAATCCTAGTGTGGGGGCAAAGTTTAAAAAAAAACAG